AAACAGACACATTAAGACTGAGATAAAGTCAAGAATTTATAAAGCCAGTGTAAGACATAAGACCCAACATAGCCACAACGCAAAGGCTACTGGAGAAACGGCGGATAATAGAGAAGACATTAGAAGAAAATTTAACGTACAATGCATAAATGAATGGTCACAAAATAAAAAAAAAAGATTGCAATGACCACATACACAGAACAGAAAAGACCTGTGTCGTTAATAAAGCAAGCAATAAGTCACCAATAGGCAAAAGAAGTATCGGACGATTGCGCAAAAGATCGAGTGACCTTCCATAGAGGTATTGATCCACCAATGAACAAGCAGAATTTTTAATAAAAAGGAAGAAGGAAATAATAATCTCGTCAAATTGCTGCCAAGTAGAGGTAATATATCTATTAACAGTAAAAACTTATCCACTAACAAACAAATCTTATAACAAATCTACTGCTTATCTGGAAACAAATCTCATTACAAAACCTATGTTAGAAATACAACTCCAATATACTCTACAAACAAAAAACAAAAGAGATAGTATGTCCCAAGATAAATGACATAAAACTAGTGACAGAAAGGCTAAAAAGACAATATGACAGTGCAATATTTGCCATACTAAATCCACAGATCCAATCGTAAATAAGGTATGTGCAGGTAATATGGCCACCTTAAGAACTTTTGTCCGTATTTGTGGCCAAATATAATTTTTTTAAAAAGTAACTGATATTACAGTTACATGGGTTATCTAAATATATATTTATTGTATAATTTTTTAAAAATTGATAAAAATATGATACTTATGACTTAATTTAAAAAATACTGCTATTGGCCATATTACCAACATGGTGCCGCTAATATGGCCACTCTACAGAAAGTAAATTTTTATATCTAATTATGAAGCTTAACACAAAATAGAATAAAATAGTTTCAGATTTTTTAACAGTTTTATTACATGTTAAGCAAATACAGTACAGAAACTTAATATTGTCTTATTTTTCATAATCAGGGCGTATCAATTTTGTCTTTAGCTGTGAGACCCATGCACTCTTCGTGGATATAAGTGCTACATCCGCTACACAGTCTCATATCTACCATCCTGTCTGCCTTGCATAATTTGCAGAACCAAGATTCTTGTTTTTTTGTTCCTTTTTCTTAGCAGGCAAGGTCTTAAATTTGTTTTTTGGATTGGGTAATTTTCGTAGCATTGACGAGACTCTTTTACCATCTGTAGTATGCGTATTGGCTTCAATATTTTCTGAATCACTTTTTCCAATACATCTACCGAATAAATCTTTAGTAACAACTTGGGCTCGACTGTTGATAGCTGGTTTTCTAGGCTTTTTGTTATCGTTCTTTATTGCTGCATTTTCAGGTGTTTCAAGCATAATTGTGAATGAAGTATTTTGGATGTTTGAGAAATCACTGTGATCGTCTTCTGAATCAATAACTTCATCACTGCTAGAATCGTGTAAGAGGGACGACAAGAGTTACTACTATCAGTGACAAGACATACTTCTTTTGAGCTATTTTTCGGTTGTAATCCCAAAGTAGAATGACAACGGTAATATTTTTGTTGAATGCCTGAAGTTGATGGCATGGATAAATCATCTGCTTTATTACAATCGTTAGTTTCTGATAATGTGACATTCTCTTTATCTTCCTGATGTTGGTATGTGATAGTACTAAGTGCAAACGCTATCACTGGGATAGCTTCTGGGTTGAATGGATAAATTCCTGTTGAAGAAAACCCCGATTTTATATTAGATGGTGTCATTGTTTTGTCCTAAACTGTAGAAAAAATTGCCCCAAATATCTGTTTGGTAATAACACGATCGCTATGAATAGAATAATATTTCATAACTTCATCATCCCAGTAATATTCAAAGGCTCTAAATACAGCTTTGTCCATTGGTTGGAGCTCGTGAGTAGTATTACTAGGTAAACAGTATAGAGTAATTTCGTATATTTCGGCAGTTTCTACAATAGTGTGATCCAAATGGCATCTTGCACCATCAAATATGATAATACATGGACCAGCAACCTTAAATTTTGAAAAGTGTTGAAGCCAAACTAAAAACGTTTTAATATTCATGCTACCTTTTGCAGTCATTTGAACAACAGCACCCGGAGGTAGCGAGTAAACCCATTCTGGCTTACTACGTTTACCCTTAAAAAGTACCATTGGAGGGATTGCTGTACCGAGAGCATTACCACAAGAAACAATGGTAACACTTTCTCCGTGTTCGTTTGCAACAACATGTACTGTTCTAGCCCCTTTTTGCGCCAAAACTTTCTGCTGGTGGTGAAGTGTTAACCTGCAACCTTTCTCGTCTACATTATATATTTGTTCGGGCTTATCAAGTATGTCCATTTCTCTTAAAATACCTTCCAGCTTAGTAAAATGATCTTCTACAATAAATTTATTATGCTTTTGTGCCCTAGCCGGATTTAAGTTTTGTGCTTTCCTAGGTCTGATTTGAGGATTGCGCTTCATAAAACCACGTAGCCAATAACGACCAGCTATTCCTTTGCTTTCTTGAGAAGGATTTGGAATATTATTGAGTTCTGTAAACCGATATACACACTTACAAAGTACCCTTGCAGTAAGTGGATATCCAATTTGCGAAAGACGGATAATACGTTGAACTAATTCTGCTTCTTGGGCATTTGTAAGTATAGTCTTTCGCCCTAGACAAGACTTTACTTGTTTTCCCTCTTCTAAATATCGTCGAAGTGTCCGCCTTGCGATGTGATATGTACGACTAGCTGTGTTAACTGCGGTCCTATTTTCCACCGCTCTTAAAGCTGCTACAAATTTTCTTCCGTCCAGTTGCCTCGTAGGCCCCTGCGCTGATACTGGGGCATTTTTTATTTCTGTAATAAAGGAAATAATATCAATACAGCAAACAAAATATGCATTGTAGAGTAATATGGCCACGTAAGATAAATATGGCCATGGCCATATAACCCTACTTTTCACCTGGCCATATTACTCAACACTGTATTTTGATATTTTGTCTAAGAAAAAATGTATTAAATCAAAATTTATACAATAAAATAAGAACATGTACATGATTTTGAAGGTATACGAAACATGTAAGTACAATTATTATATATTTTTTTAAATTACGAAATTAATAACCAGCTTCTGCAATGACGAGTTTTTACAACAATGGTGTATGGTTCTGACGTATAGAGAATGTGGCACCATCTGTTTAACAATTTCGGCACTAAATGTGTTTTACTATGCTAATATCAAGAGTTCTACCGTTTAAACATAAAAATAGTAAGAAATTTGTTGGATGGCCATATTACTGTACATGGCCATATTACCTACACCTACCTTATACAGAATATGGATGACCCCAATTGCTAATCCTAGAGTTAAATGACCGCGTGATCACTCCAATACATAAATCACCAAATATGTCATCATCATCAATTAGCCTATATTTGTCCACTGCTGAACGTGGGCCTTGGGTTTTCTTCCCGCAATATGGATTGTATTTATAAAAATTATGCTAGAGTTGTATTATCAAAATAAGCAGAGACAATCAAACACATGAAATACAGAGGCGAATAGGTCTAACATGGGCAGCATTTGGCAAATTAAGCCATATTCTAAAAAGTTCAATTCCCATGTGTCTCAAGCGAAAGGTTTATAACCAATGTGTTTTACCTGTACAAACTTATGGAGCAGAGACTTTAACACTCACGCAAAAATCTGCGAATAAACTTAGAGTTACACAACGAGCCATGGAACGTGCAATGCTGAACGTGAGCCTTCGAGACCACATAACAAACCAACAAATCAGGCGAAGATCAGGAGTTCAAGACGTCATCGAAAGAACCACGACGCTTAAGTGGAACTGGGCAGGGCACTTAGCCAGAACACAAGATGGACGGTGGACAAGACGTATTATGGAATGGAGGCCCAGAAATTATAAAAGAAGCCGAGGACGACCACCGACTAGATGGACCGATGACATTAAACGTGTAGCGGGAAACTGGCTATAAGCGGCCCAGTGTAGAGAACACTGGAAAGAACTGAGGGAGGCCTATGTCCAGCAGTGGACGCGATTGGCTGATTGATGATGATGATGATGCTAGAGTACTGCCGCTATCCTAAATACTTTGACGTTACTTCGAATAGAAATCTATATATCTATTCCCATTCCGGATACTTGTTTCCTCCATTTCTCTAGCGATGATTAAATATATATTTTAAATAAGGTCAGAGATAGACTACATCCTTGTTTAAGCTCCTTTGTTATTGGAAATGATTCAGATATAAAGTTTCCTTCTTTAACGACACTTCTTATGTATGTGGATAGCATCTACATACTCTCTACTGAGACCTACTTTCGTCAATGTTTGAAACAGTTTTATCAAAGGTATCGGATCGTATGCCTTCATTAAATCTACAAACAATAGGTGAGTAGATAGATTCCTTGCCTTCCGTTTTTCGATTACCTGCTGCAGAACGAATATACCATCAGTGCACGATCTTTTTGCACGAAATCCATTTTGTTCTTCTATGTCTTCGTATTCTGATTCTATTCTTTCTTTTATTATTTGACCGTACAACCTCCCCACTCAGCTGATATCAGTTATTCCCCTATAATTAGAGCGTTTGCGTTTATCCCCTTTCTTGAATTATGAGCTGATTTATCCAACATTCCAATCATCAGGCATATTTTGTCCTTTTAAGTATTTGTTAAATAGTTATCCAACATCACATGTAATATTTTTGGTTCATACCTTACCAACTCAATTGGGATGTCTCCAGGTCCTGCTGCTTTACCGTTTTTCGATTTTTTGAGAGCCATCGGCTAACTTAAAAGAACATAACCTTTTTAATATATTTTTAGACAGAACAAAAAATATTTAAAACACGAGCACAAAAACCTTATAAAATTGATAAGACGAAGTGGAATCAATAAAACCTTGGTCAATCTTATTACAAAAAAACACCAAAGTTGTGAAAAACTAAGTTTAAAATAAAGAATGTGACACACTTTATTATAACAATAGATTTTATTTTCTAGAATCTTAAAGCGAGACATCAATATTGAAAAGCAATTACAACAGCATGCACTAAATAATGTTCTACAAAGCTTAGTTATCTAATATATATCTCTTCGCATATTTCATTTATTTAACTTCTTCAAGTTAAACCAAAACCCGTTTTCCGCTGTAACATTGAATTGTGACTTGGAAATTTTTAACGGTATGTGAAGTTTTGCCGAAGGTTCAATTATAAAATTGGATAAAAGATAAAAAAGCACCACTTTCGTTTCTAATAGCGCAAATCGCGATCCTATACAGTTCCTAGGACCAATACCAAAGGGAAGATACGTGTAAGGGTTGATTTTTGACTTGTTTTCGTCATTGAATCTTTCTGGGTCAAACTTATCTGGATTTTCGTAGAATGCCGGATCTCTATGTATCGCCCATATGGGAAACAGAAGAACTGTGTTCTTTTCAAGATAGAGGGGCTTTTCTTCTGGTGTTGCAGGAGGGATTGTGTAAGATCTGGTACATATTCTGTCAGACATGACAGCGATTGGCCATTTTCGTAAAGTTTCTGAAAAATAGGCAAAATGTTAGCTATACTAAATATTTTGAAATTAATTTCTTGTATCATTTTATTTTCGTAGTTACATTTTAAAGGAGACCAATCACAATTATCAGAGAAGCAAAAGAAAAGAAGCAAGGGAAAGATGCGAAGTAATTGAGACTCTGCAGTCAAAGTACGATAGTCACAATGTACATAGGAAAGTTAAAGAACTCACAAGAGGACTAAGACGAAAGCAGAGAGGAAATATAACTGATTTTGACGGAAACATCATTTTGGACAAACAGAGTAAAATAAGAACGTGGAAAGAATATCTAGAAAAACTATTTGAAGACCAAAGAGATAACCTTTGATCTAGAAGAAAAGGTAAATTATGGACCAAGAATATTACAGCAGGAAGTTTATTCCGCAATAACGTAGTTAAACGATGACAAAGCGGCAGGCCCTGATAATATACAAGCAGAACTAATCACACTAATGGACAACGAATCAATAGCAATAATCGCACAGATATTCAACAATATATACAACTCTGGGGAAATATCAACAGAATGGCTGAAATTGCACTTTCAAAAAAAAACCAGGAGCCAAAAAATTCAAAGATTACCGTACTATAAGCCTCATGAGTCATCTCCTAAAATTGTGCCTAAAGATAATTCATAAAAGAATCTACAAGCTCTGTAAAAGTCAAATTTTTTCAACCAGTTCCGGTTCACAAATGCTGTTGGTACTAGGTGAGTACTAATACAAGTCTTATTCCAGAGATGCAGAGACGTCAACTGCGACATATACGCATGTCTGGTTGATTACGATAAAGCGTTTGATCGAGTACAGCACTCCAAGATGATGTAAATACTAAAATAAGAAGGAATTAATAACCGAGATCTGAAAATAATTAGAAATCTTTACTGGAATCAGACAGCAAATCTCAGAGTTGAAACCGAACACACTGACTATGTGAAAATCATTCGTGGAGTGAGGCAACTCTGTATATTGTTTCCTCTAATTTTCAATCCGTACTCTGAAATAATATTTATCGAACGTTTGCACGAAACTGAAAAAGGTATTCTACTTAATGGTTACCGGCTTTACAACATCAGATATGCAGATGATACTATAGTATTTGTGGACAACTTAAAAGACCTACAAATTCTTATGAACAAAATCACTTATTACAGTCAACAATATGGACTCAATATAAACGTTAAGAAGACAAAGCTTATGATAATTAGCAGGAAAAAAATAACAGAAGGTCAACTCTACGTCAACCAATCTCCTGTAGAAAGAGTGACGCACTACAACTACCTCGGCAACATAATAAATGAAGAATGGACCAACAACCAGGAGATTAGAGCATACATCGGAAAAGCTAGATCCACCTTCAATCGAATGGGGGCCTTCTTCAAGAGTCACAACCTCTCTCTTGACACAAAAGTTAGAATGTTGCGATGCTACGTCTTCTCTGAACTTTTTTATGGTGTTGAATCGTGGACCATAAACGAAGATATATGCAAAAAACTGGAAGCATTTGAGATGTGGCTATACCGGAAAATACTTAAGATCGCGTGGACTGACCGAGTCACAAATGAGGAGGTCCTCAGAAGAATGAATAAGAACCAAGAGGTACTGACCATCATTAAATCTCGAAAGTTCGGACACATTATGCGAAATGAATCCAGATATGCTCTCCTTCAAGCCATCCAGCAAGGAAAAATATTTGGAAAGCAAGCTCCAGGAAGAAGAAGAACATCTTGGTTAAAGAACCTCATAATCTAGTTCAATACAGAATCGGCGCAGCTTTTCCACGCTACTACAGATAAGATAAAGATTGCCATGATGATCGCCAACATTCGTAACGGATAGGCACATTAAGAACAAGAAGAATCACAATTATAAGCTTGGCATAATCAAGGCAAATTTAAAGGTAGTAAAAGACAGCAATAATGGTGCAACTCTAAATCTAGTAAATTAGGTAAAGTACCTTAGGGTAATATTGGACTCGAGGCATATTTGGTATTGGTAGAAAGAAAGAATAGCCAAGTTATTGGTAGCAAGGTACTCATCGAAAAATATATAGGGTTTAACACAAACCATGGTATATTGGAATTGTAACTTAGCTTTAAAAATGATAATTTTTACCTGAAATAACCATGTCCAAGTACTTCATTTTCAACAGACCTTCGTACGTTAGCTTTCCGTTGCATTCTCTCAAAGTTTCTTCAACTTCTTCTCTCAATCTATTTTGGATATCAGGATTTACTGCTAATTCGTAGATTGTAAAACACATTAAGGAAGATACGCCATCAAAACCAGCAAAGAAGAAAATCATAGCGTGGGCAGCTATATCAACATTTGTGATTTCTTTGGCACCTTTACCATGTCCTACAAACAAAAAATATGTCAGATTATATATCAGAAAAAATAAATCAGTGAGATATTATATCTGTATAATATCAGGGATAAATAACTTTTGTAACTACAATTTATTTTTTTTTATTTTTTATTTACAAGGGATTGCCGTTTTTTCCATATAATGTAAAAAACGTAAACTCTTTCATAAAGAACAATGTAAAATTACCGAATATTTTTAATACTCATCTACTTTATTGAACTGTGTATTGTAACGTATAATATACCTGGATCGGTAAGAAAGATGCCCAGTAGGAGCTATTTTGAGTAACGTAAAAATTAACCCAAGGGGATGTTCTATTGTTGAATTTAGATTCAACGAAGAAACACAGGTTTAAAGACGTCCACAAGACTTCTTCTTCTTGATGTGCCTATCCGTTACGAATGTTGGCGATCATCATGGCAATCTTTATCTTATTTGCAGCAGCGCGGAAAAGCTGCACATAGGTTCTGACTCTTGAAGGAAGCCCCCATCCGATTAACGGTGGATCCAGCGTTACCAGACCTAGGGAATTTTCCCTATACCTAGGAAATTTTGAGCCAGCTTAGGGAAAAGGGATTTTTATTCAATTCTATGAAAAATCTAGGGAATTCTTAATATTTGTAAGAATTTTTTAAAAAATCAGTTTTATTTAATAAACTTTCCAAAATTGCACATATTATATTATCTACTTGGAAATCATACTATTCGTGGAATCACTAAATTCTGTTTTTGTGATTTCCCGTTGGAAACTGGAGTGGTGAAATTTAATGAACTGCGAATTACGTCGGGAATCTACCTGGGCTAAAGTATGTATTGGCGTCGCTCATCGGGTGATTTTTGGTTTCTAGTTTGTCTTTCTCTAACTGTTTATGTCATTCTCTGTCGATGACTAGAGTGGTGGTATTTCACAAAGGGCGAATTACGTCAGGGATCCACCTGGACTAAAATATCTTAATACTTTGATATTCTTACAATTCTTACCATAAATACAACTATAAAACACGTGTGCAGAAGGGTCAAAAATAATTATATTAACAAACATATGTGTACAACTAGAGGAACATGCTGACCGCCAAGAGCCTAAAGAACTTTTCTCAAAAGTCAAGTATCTAGCAAGAGAATTCAAACCGCAAAGATCATCAAAGATAATTGTGGAAATATTATAAAAAACCCAGACGGCCTCGCAGAGGTGTGGAAACAATATTGCGAGATACTATTTTCTAACAACGACCGAGACAATAATACAGAGAAAATAAGTTATGAAAAAGAACCTCAAATATTGAAATTAGAAATTGAGGTGGCAATTAAAAAGCTAAAATCCAGAAAAGCAGAAGGAGAAGATGGAATAACAGCTGAAACACTAAAAGAAATGGGAGAATTAGGGACGGAAGTAATGCTTAGAATTTGCAATGAGATTTGGAATACCGAAAAGTAGACAAATGACTGGGGTAGACTTGCGTTTATTCCCATATATAAAAAAAGGTTTACCGACAGCTGATTGCAGTAATTACCACACAGTAGCATAGTAGCATTGATATCACACGCGAGCACAGAACTTCTAACCATCATTAATGAAAGACTAAAATTAATTCCTTTACCACAAATTCCCCAAGAACAATGCGGATTCGTCCCAGGTAGAGAAACAAGAGAACATATTCTTAATATTCGTCAAATTATCGAAAAATCTCGAGATTGCTTTGTTGACTATTCCAAAGCCTTCGATACCATGAAATGTAATAAAATGTGGCATACACTTAGTGAAATGAGTACTGCAGAACATCTTATCTATTTATTACAAAAACTATAGGTAAATAATACCTGCTAATGTAAGAGTTAATAATGTGATTTCGAAAAACATCAAATTAAAATCTGGAGTTCGACAGGGATGCATAATATGTTCTATTCCATTCAATGTGTATAGTAAACATATGCGTCAAGTTGTTGAGGAAAGTGGCAAGGTAAGGTGAAGCAACAATAGGAGGAAGAAAAATTAAAAACCTGCGTTATGCTGATGACACTGTTATCGTCATCACCAGAAGAACTGGAACAAATTATGAATAGGCTAGGCACGGTGAGTACGGAATATAGTTTGAAAATAAATATGCAGAAAAGCAAAGTGATGATCATCGATAGAATCAGAAACAACCAAGCAGAGATAAAAAACATGGCAGGTTACGAAGTAGTCAGGCAATTTAATTACTTACGCTTCTTATTGTACTAACAGTGGAGGATGCGAAGACGAGATCCGTCGTCGCATCACAATGGCCAGATCGGCAACAGCTAAACTCACAAAAATTTGGAAGAACACTGGCTTCACAAAAAATACAAAATTACGCCTTGTTCGAGCATTGATATTTCCTATCGCCACCTATGCTTTAGAAACTTATTACAACAATAACAAAATAACGACATAATATTACGACAATAACAAAAGCCGATTCAAAGCGTATAATGGCCTTTGAAATGTGGGTCTACCGTAGAATGTTGCGCATACCATGGACCGCTTATCGCACAAATAACTCAATTCTAGCAGAACTTAACATAAAATTAGACTCAACACAACTATCAACCCAAATATACTGAGATATTTTGGACATATAACTAGAAGAAGAGAAGGCATAGAGCAAATGATAGTTGAAGGTAACGTAGGGGGTAAAAGATCCAGAGGCAGATATCCAGTACGATGGTCGGACCAAATAAAAGAAATGACTGGCTATTCATTCTTCAAAGCAAAACAACACGCACAGGAAAGAGATAATTGGACAAAAATATTTAATAAAATTACATGACGTTACTATATCCTTACGAAAGAGAAAAGATTGAGGAGGATTCTTACGTCACAAATTCACGAACAAATAATACCAATCGCACAGAATGAATGTTCATAACCAAAAGTTGTTATTTATTCTACAAACAATTAAAATACCAATATTTCCAACTTTTTATGTGACCAATAAACTCAAATTAGAAATGTAGAAATGTACCAGACTTAGGTGGTCTATTCTAGGCTAAATATGGTTGTCAAGTTGTTAGGGAAATCTAGGGAAATTTTGACAAAAATTCTAGGGAATTAAAAAAAATCATCTGGCAACCCTGGGGGGATCTAGCATTTCCGATGCGTACTCTAATCTCCTGGCTGTTGGCCCATTCTTAATTTATTATAATGCCGAGGTAGTTGTAGTGCGTCACTCGTTCTACAGGCGATTGGCCTTCTGTTATCCTTTTCTTGCTAATTATCATAAACTTTGTCTTCTTAACGTTTATATTGAGTCCATATTGTTGACTGTAATACGTGATTTTGTTTATAAGGACTTGTAGGTCTTCTAAGTTGTCCGCAAATAGTATGGTGTCATCTGCATATCTGATGTTGTTTAGTCGGTAACAATTTAGTAGAATAACTTTTTCAGTTTAGTGAAAAGCTTCGATAAATATTCTTTCGGAGCACAGATTAAAGATTAGAGGAAAAAAATACAGCCTTGCCTCACTCCACGCATGATTTTTACATGGTCAGTGAGATTCACCTTCAATTCTGAGATTTGCTGTCTGATTTCAATAAAGCTTTATAATTATATTCAGATCTTGGTTGTTAATTCCTGCTTCTTTTAGTATTTGCATCATCTTGGCATGCTGTATTCGATCAAACACTTTCTCGTAATCAACATGACATGCGTGTACGTCGCAATTGACGTCTCTGCATGTCTGGAATAAGACTTGTACTGAAAACAAAGCCTCTCTAGTACCGACAGCATTTGAGAACCCGAACGAATTGGGGGAAATTTGACTTTCACAGAGCTTGTAGATTCTCTTATGAATTATCTTTAAGAAGAATTTTAGGAGATGACTCATGAGGCTCTTAGTACGGTAATCTTCACATTTTTTGGCATTTTTTCGTTCTCTCGGCAAAAGATACGTCTTACCCATGGTAGATGGCTCCAACATCAGAAGTAAAGAGACCCTAGAAACTATTTACCATCGTCTAAGGCACATACTCACCAGGAGCCCTATAGTAAAAGTTCCATTTCCTCCATTTCTAAGCAGACCTACCTTAAAATAGACGAAACCTTAGATAACACTTCAGATTCTTTTCTTTTGGTAATCATCTGGTAAATATTCGGTTTGAAAATGTTCTTTATAAACGTTATTTAAAATTAAAGAATGAAAAAAATTTAAAAATTTAAGACTTTACCTCGAGCATAATACAAGAAAAAATAAAAAAGTACCCCTTGGTACACTGATAGGTCTTTTTAACACTTCGCTGGTCACTGAATACTTTAAAGGATCCAAAATTTTAGCTTATGTAATTTTTTATTAGCAGAGGACCAAAATAATAAAAATGACTTATGACAAAAAGCAAATTATGATTGTTTTCACTATACACTTTGATTGATGTCTATACGGATTCTTTTAATGACGAATAACTGGATAAACTGCTTCCCAGCGAATAATTGAATAAATTGATAAACACTTTGTTAATAGACATCGAAATTAATTAAGTGATCCCAACACACCAGTTTGGTTTCCGCGAAGCCCATTCAACCCTACAACAGTGTCATAGGATTGTTAAAAACATTAATGTATGCTTCGAAAAGAAAAAAAAATTGCACTGCTGCCTTCCTGGATATAGAACAAGCCTTCGACCGTGTTTGACACGACGGCCTTCTGTATAAACTTAAGTCATCCGTTCCTACTCCTCACTATCTACTTTAAAAATCATATCTCACAGAACGTCACTTTCCAGTCAGATTCTTTACAGAAACCTCTAATTACTATCCCATAAAATCCGGTGTCCATCAAGGAAGTGCCCTGGGTCACCTCCTGTACCTCATATACACTGCTGATATCCCAACAACAAATACGATGATGACCGCCAAGTAGCATCAGGAAACCTTCAAATACACCTGAACCTACTACAAGACTGGATGAATAGATGGAAAATCAAAGTTAACCAAACTAAGTCTAATCAAATTACATTCACCAACAGGAACATCATATGTCCAAGAATCAGACTGAATAATATATTACTACCAGTAAAATCAGAAGTCAAATACCTGGGAATGACACTTGATCAAAAGCTTACTTGGAAAGCACACATCTTGGCAAAAAAAAATCCAAATCAACATGAAAATAGGTCAAATGAATTGGTTAATAGGCCGAAAATCACAGTTATCTACAGATAATAAACTCCTCCTGTATAAGTGCATAATAAAGCCTATATGGACATATGGAGTGCAACTATGGGGCTGTACAAAGCCTTCTAATACCACAATCATTCAGAGAATCCAATCCAAAATACTCATTGTATGCTTGAATGTATTGAATGATTTTCAACGCGCCATGGTACGTTAGTAATAAAACACTGTATGATGATTCTGGTATACCGTTCGTTGAAGACGAAATCAGCAGACCAACAAGAAATTATTTAGAACATCTGCCAGCCCACCCTAACGAGGAAGCAAGACAACTACAACTCCAACCAGAAGTCAGACGAAGATTGAAGAGACCGTGGCCAACAGACTGTATTCACTAATTTCAATTTAATTTTTAATTTTCATTTCAATTTTAGTTTTAAATTATAATCCTACATTAACTTAATCTGCTGATCACTTAAAGTGTTAATTGTGAGTATTATCAGTGAATAATTTCTCTTCTCATGTATTTGCAATACTCACATTTACTAATAGCATGTAATAGCAGATTGTAAATTTGCAAATTTAATAAAAAAAATATGTTCACAACCTTTTCAACTTTCATATGATAACATATTTAGTATTAAAATGATCAATGTAATATGATGTATGATCGTCTCAGACATAAAAAGATCAACAATAAGTAGTTTGGTAAATGGGTTTAGTTCCCGCAGTCATCACAAAGGAAGCAAAAAAAATCGTTAGTAGTACTTATTAGGATAACAGTTTTCTGAAAAATGTGTTCTCCGATAATTTTGTGGGACACTATATAAAAAAGACAAACAAATAAACATAGTATGTGGTAATAAAAGAAACATTTAAGCGCAATTTCTTACAATAAAGGTAATAATAGCCTTTTCTAATATTTATTTCATTTAAAAAAGAACGCACAAAGAATTTTAAAATTGGCTTTCTAATTAAAATTGGAAATTACTTTTCCAAATTGAATTAACACAGGTATCAAATAGATATATTTAACAAATAATCATGATAAGATAACAGTATGTAGGAAACCTTTAAAAATGTTTTAATAATTTACCTAAATCTGCTTCTTCTACTACGGCAAATCCAGTATCGATAACCTTCTCTTCTTTTTGCTGAATTCCTTTTTTAGCCTCCATTAGTAAGTGGATCATATCAGGACGAACAATTCCTTTCTCTTCTCTAGTTCTGACTGTCTTATCAATAAGTTCCATAAAAAAGTCATTTAATTCTTTGCCAAAAATTGAAACTTTGAAAAACTAAAATCATAGTATACATATATATATATATATATATATATATATATATATATATATATATATATATATATATATAGATATATATATATATACATATATATATATATATATATATATATATATATATATATATATATATATATATACATATATATATATATATATATATATATATATATATATATATACAGGGTGAGTCCATTTATTTCATTTTACTGTAGTGTTTATATGGCTCATTTGATTTTTTTAATTTTTGCATGATACAGTACACTACTATCAGGCATTCGACTGGTATTAGCTAAACTAAAAAATTCCAGGACTGGCTTTGGAAAAATTAATTTAGGGATTCGTATTAAATATTACACCCTGTATATATTTTTTTTAAATGCAATAAGTGATTTTCAAACTACATAAATAGCCAATGAAAACGACATATACGACAATGTTGTCGCACTTTTATTAAATTTTTAGTGAACGATCAAATCTTACCAAAAATAGAACAACCGTAATGAAGTATCAAATTATAAGGTAATTATTTTAAACAAATGTTATAAATTTCAAACATTTTAATTGAAATGATAAACTGAGTCACTGCACAACAAAAAACAGTAACTACTAATAATAACGAAGAACAATTAAAAAAAAAACTAAAAATATGTATATAGTTATGATAAACCCATAAATTAGAACTGGAAAAGATACAATAATGGTAACAAAATAAAAATAATTCAAAATAGATTTTTGAAATGAAACCCTGCAGCCTGTACACATTTTTGTTGCCGAATTGTTAATTGACGTATTGAATTACGGATAATCTGGGGATCGTTTCTAATAGTATTACAACAATGTATAATTCTATCAATTAATTGTTGTCAGTTATTAATATTCACTGCGTAAACTAGTTGCTTCAATCGTCCCCAAATATGGTAATCAACGGGATTGAAATCAGGGGATCTTGAAGGCCACGAAATAGGATCTGCACGTCCTATCCACCTGTTGCCATAAACATTATTGAGATGTTGTCTCACTGCCAGTAAAAAGTGTGGGGGTGCCCCATCATGCTGAAAAGACATCCCTCGGATAGCAACGTTCGCGTTGGCAAGCAAATTCGGCAAAATATTTTGTAGAAAGTTCAAATAGACCTGCCCTGTTAAAGGACCATCAAAAAAGTGAGGACCTACTAATTGGTTATTTATGACACCAATCCACACGTTAACCGAAAACCTTAACTGAGAACGACGTTCTCGAATAGCATGGGGATTTTCTTCTGCCCACACATGTGAATTTCGTGAATTATTTATCCCGTCTCTGGTAAATTGGGCTTCATCTATAAATAGTGTCCTGTATAGCATTGGTCGATTATTGTTAAACCATCTACAAAATTCCAACCTATCGATCTCATCTCCAGCATGTAGTCGCTGAACCATTTGAATGTGATATGGGTATAGATTATTTTTTTGTAAGACTCTACTTACTTTTGATTGAGTAACATTGAGTTCTCGACTTACTTGTCTAGTGCTTATTGTAGGGTTCATAGTAACAGCGTCCATAATGTCATCTTCCTGCGCTTCATCTACATGTCGCTCTGTTGTTCCACTAGGAAACGTGCCATTTTCTCGCAAATAATTAAAAACTGACCCAAATGTTGGATGACTGGGAGTTCGACGATTAGGAAATCTCCTGCGATATTCTCTACTAGCAGCCCTACCATTTCCATTACAGAATCCATAAACAAATATTATATCTGCATATTCTGTGGTCGAAAACTGATGTGGCATTTTGAACGAAAGTAACAAAAGCTCTACCAAAACTAACACAATGTACTTAACGTAGATATGACAGAAGAAATATGTATTCTTGTACACATAAATAACAATTGATAATGACAATAATGACAATGGGTATAAAATATCAAGAAACGTCAAACGGTCAACGCCAACCTTCATTTTAAATTTTTTTAGATTTATTTTTATTTAGTACAGTTGATGCAATGTATTATTATTTGACATAAAATTTCAATCATTTACAATCAATAAAAACTAACACATACAAGAGGTTTGACTTTTTAATCAATTTAATTTATTATTTATCGAAATTAATGCCCCAATACGATCTATGAGTAAAAATTTAAAATTAAAAAACAATTGATTCTATCGTAGAGATAATACAAAGTGACAGTAAAGATGTTAATTTTCTACGTATTAGATTATGTTGTAGGAACTCATTTTAATTAAAATGTTTGAAATTTATAACATTTGTTTAAATTAATAACCTTATAATTTGATAATCATTATGGTTGTTCTATTTTTGGTAAGATTTGATCGTTCACTAAAAATTTAATAAAAGTGCGACAACATTGTCGCATATGTTGTTTTCATTTGCTATTTATGTAGTTTGAAAATCACTTATTGCATTTTAAAAAAAATATATATAGGGTGTAATATTTAATACGAATCCCTAAATTAATTTTTCCAAAGCCAGTCCTGGAATTTTTAAGTTTAGCTAATACCAGTTTAAGAATGCTTATAAACGAGCCGTATAAACACTACAGTAGAATGAAATAAATGATCAATTACACAAATCACCCTGTTAATTAATAAAGAAGAGGAGTTGACATTTTTTAGTGGCCACATGATATGCTCCCTGAGGGACTCTAGATATGGTAGAAGTACGTAAAGTTCCTCGTGACTCACCCTGTATATAACGAAATGCATTAAACAGTAGTAAGTTGGGAAAAAGTTTAAGGGAAAGGATGCAATGCAATACTTACCCCTAAAACCTGCGGTATGATCATATAACCAAAAAATTTGAGACTTTTCCACCACCCAAAATCTACTGCTCTCATTCCCATAGTGAAGAATTCATTATCTCTGTGCTTTAAAGAATCTGTTTTAATGCCAAAAGCAGTTGTAGCAATAACATCGTTTGTGAATCGTCTAAAAGTATCCTTCATTTCCATTTCGGTTGTATCTTTGTTATTGTCCAGAAAATACTTAATGAAGTTCTCACCACATTCAGACATCAGGACGAACATGGCTCGCATTTTGCTGCTGGTGAAGGTTGGACTGAGGATCGGTCTCATATCACGCCATGATTGACCTTTCAAAACAAAAAGGAAATTACTTTACCCATTTGTAAGAAGCTAGTTATTTGAACTAACTGATTACATTGTAATGTAAACATAGCAAGAAAGTAAAGATTAAAATAAAGGTTTGTAGCATAGGGGAGAATAATAATCATTTTAATGATTATTATATATTCCAAATCAAATAAGGGATAATTAATACATTAAAGTATACATTTTAAATTACACAAAGAAATTGACCTAGTTAGTGCATTGTTTGATAATTGTTTAAACGTAGAAAAAGTACGTCAAACAGAAACTATTGTTGTAAAAATAACACCGCTCGTGACCCAAATAACGCATAGGACTTACAACTCAGCGAAAACACGACCTTGGCACTATAACCGGCATTGAAAATACGAGCTCAATAAAAAACAAGAAGAACAGAGGAGTCAGTCAGTCGGTGTCTTCGATCAGGGTGGTGAATACGAGAGTCGGCACCAGGTGCGGATTACGCGCGATTGTTATATTTCGACGGAGAATAGTTCCGTATAAGTGTCGGGTACTGAAAGAAATCCGATTTCCGGAGGAGCTGAAGGGCGTATCATTAGCTAGAGGCTAAATACGCGAAAGGTAACAAAATTAGGAGGGAGGTTATATCCCCTATTGTAACATCTGGAACTAGAGGGTAAGAAAATCTTCACTACTGTACAACGCTGTTACTACTGTAATATACTGGTAATGAACCTTAAATGATGCTTATCCCTGCGAGCGGCTGCAAGGAATACTGGTCCCACTAGTCTGGAGGGCTGGCTCGCCTTCGTGGATTTACGAGAAGGTAAGGAACTTCGGAATAGGGGTTAAGGACTTCTAGGTCTCAGGTCCTGTAAAGAGTTTGAGTCTATGGGCTTACTTTAGAAGCAGGATAAATGTATAAGCCGAAATTCGGTACTCTTTTGTTCTCTGTCTGAATCGGTCGGAAGGAACATAAAACCAATTTTAGAGTCTACAAATGTATTGAATATACTATGTGGTTTACAATTAAGTTAACAGACTGTCATATATAAGTAATAATAACTCGTTCGGCGCGAAGGGAGACGAGAAGAGATCTTAGCAATAAAGTAAAGGGGTGACAATTTGTAATACTATAATTTACTCGGGTTAGTATATAGAATTTTGTTACCTTCCGCGTATTTAGGCTCTAGCTAATGATACGCCCTTCAGTTCCTCCGGAAATCGGATTTCTTTCAGTACCCGACACTTATACGGAACTATACCCCGTCGAAATATAACAATCGCGCGTAATCCGCACCTGGTGCCGACTCTCGTATTTACCACCCTGCCCGAAGACACCGACTGACTGACTCCTCTGTTCTTCTTGTTTTTATTGAGCTCGTATTTTCAATGCCGGTTATAGTGCCAAGGTTGTGTTTTCGCTGAGTTGTAAGTCCTATGCGTTATTTGGGTCACGAGCGGTGTTATTTTTACAACAATAGTTTCTGTTTGACGTGCTTTTTCTACGTTTAAACAATTATCAAACAATGCACTAACTAGGTCAATTTCTTTGTGTAATTTAAAATGTATACTTTACTGTATTAATTAGCCCTTATTTGATTTAAAATATATAATAATCATTAAAATGATTATTATTATCCCCTATACTACAAACCTTTATTTTAATCTTTACTTTCTTTCTATGTTTACATTACAACATATTACTACGCTACCAGCAGACATGTGGTATATTAAGGAGAGAATAAACATTTACCTTGAAAATATACCGTGAAAACAACTTCCTTTGCTACCTAGTAACACAATGGATTACTTAGTTTGAATAGCGTTTGAACCGTGAACAGGGTTTTATGTGGGAAAAATCATGAATCACGCCATATTCATAATGAGGCAAGTGCAGAAGAAATCATTAGAATACAACAAACCGGCATATCTATGTTTCATGGACCTTACAAAGGAATTTGACCTGGTCAAATTAAAAGACGTTATCCACTTACTGTATGCAAAAGATAGCTCTAGGAATAATCAAAACGATCGAAAATATCTACCAAAACAACACAATAAAAGTAAAAGTAGAAGAAGAACTAACCGACCCTATTGAAGCTGGCAATGGGATAAGAAAAGAAGATTTCCTGCGTCCTCTATTGTTCAATCTGATTTTGGATGAAATAATAAAAAAAGTAAGAACAAAAAAAGGATACTAAATGGGAAAAAAACAACTTAAAATAATCTGCTATGCAGACAACGCAATACTTCTCTTTCAAAGTGAAGATGATTTACAACCTATGCTGCACCAATTTAATATAACCGCCAGAAAATTTAACATGTTAATTTCCCCAACAAAGACAAAATACATGGTTATAACAGCAAATTTACTAACATTTAAATTGGAGCTGGAAGGTCAGGTAATAGAACAAGTTTGTGATGGAGTTTAAATATTATCTAGGCATCATATTATATAGCTATGAAAAGCTCGAAACCGAAGTGTAAGATCAAGTGAATAGAGCAAACAAAGCCACAGGCTGCCTAAATGAAACAATATGTAGAAATAAAAATATCGGGAAAGAAACGAAACGCAGAATTTACAAAACAGTCATCAGACCAATAATGACATACGCGGCAGAAACAAGACCTGACACAGAGAGGACAAAAAGGATTTTACAAACAGCAGAGATGAAAACACTTAGAAAAATTGCTAGTAAGACACTATGGGACAGAGTTAGAAGTACAGATATACGACATCGATGCAAGGTGGAGAACATCAAAAACTGGGTAAGAAATAGAAGAGTAGAATGGAACAATCATTTAAGCCAAATTACAACAAATCGAAGTCGATCAGCAGGAAGACCACGAAAGGATGTAATGACAACATACTGAAGGCACATGGAAAAACAGAGTCATGCCTATATAAAAAGAAGAAGAAGAAAAAGAAGAAGAAGAAGAGTAAGAAGAAGAAGCATAATGTTTGAGTATTGTAGTGGTGTAGAATACTATACAGTGACTATTATACAGTAGCTACCTAAATTTGTTTACCTTTTAATCCAAATAGATTCTTTCCCATTAGAGGATCGGCATTTTCAGGGAACATTTGCCTATGATCCATAAAATGTTCAAAATCTTTAACGGCAATTTGTTTGATTAGATCTGGGTCTCGTATACCAAGTGTGGGCGTCGTCATCTGGTACAATCCAAAATATCTAAAAATAACAACTACATATCATCAAGATGTTTCTTTCAAAACTCGATTTAAACTGTAATTTGCAATACCGATGGTTTAATATTCACGTCCTTTTTATATGGCTGTAAAACCAAGACATTAAAGCAAATATTTATTAAATCTTTATTAAATATTATATGTTAAATCACAAATTAGTCCATTAATTTGTAATCTCACATTACTCTTAATTTCCTGAATTTGTACAGTTTCACCGTGTATAATTATGAAAAATATTGATAAGTAGCTTAATTTCAGTTTGTTCAACTTCCTGCAAATTATAGATTGCCTTATATTTATTGAAAAACTGCCTGTAATCATTTCCTCAGTTCAAATTATATTTGGCAGCTTTCAAAAGTCAAAGGTTTTTGTTCTATGCAGAGGTCAGTACACTTATTTGACGAATCGTAGCATTTTAGTGAGATTATAAATATAGCTTCGGGACTAGTTTGGAACGCAGTCTATTATAATTTTTTACCTCAACAACAACTAGAGTGTAATAATTCAGTATCTGTCAATTAAACTATATTTTACTCTACGACTTCAACATTTTATTTTATCATCGTCGATCGAGAAGAATAGAAAATTTTATTATTTTTAAAATTCTTTGGTGTATATTAAAATCCTTTCGTATATGCTAAAACAGCGAAGAACCTATTTCATTTCCTATCGTACGTATTAAAACACCGAAATACTCTTTCAATTCTGTTTGCGTCGCCGAGGTCGATAATAAGCACATTTTAGAGTTTGTTTACATCTTACAGATGTGAAATTCTTTGGTATTCTTTGCTCGAAGCCGCTTTGAGATATTTTTCGCGTTGCAAATAGAAATATTTACGTTTATATGTTTTGTTGGGCGAATAACTTTTAAAGATAAATACATCAATAAAACACTGAAAACTTTGTTTTCAAACTTCCACAATTTTTTTTTAAATCTTATCACTACAGCTGTTTCGGCTGATAGCCTTTCTCAAGTGATCTTTTTTTGGCTTGGGCTTACAAATTTATAGTCTCTAATGCAATAGGTTGAGGAGGGGAGAACTGTTTGTCTCAAGTTGGTCATTCAGAATTATATCTGTGTTTTTTAATTTGTTGATTTCCATTGATTCTAACAAAGATAGCTTAAGGCCTTTATTTTGAATGTAAAGAATTTTAAATTTAAAAAAAAAAAGAGGTTAATCTTTGTAAATGGGTATATTTATTTCAAAAACCCCTAAAAGGGCCACATCAATAAAACAAACGTTTTCGGACTACACAGTCCATCATCAGGTTATTAAAATCGAAAATGCTAGGTCATAATGCCTGAGCCACCAAAATATTAGGGTAAAAAACCCTTTAAATTACATTTAGTTATGAAATGTTGTACATTGTGTTATAAAATAATTGTGATGTTCAATATTAAATTAAATTTGACTAAAGGTAACACATGGCTCAATTGGGTTCCAGAGCCGGGTGAGAGGGTACCTCTGCACTCGGAGAACAACGTGGAACTGTGAATGTGAATGTGAATGTGAATTTTAAATTTGTCATTAAAAGAATGATTATGATCTAGAAGGTGAAGTGCGTATGTCGAATCTGTTTTTCTATTCTTGACAGCCCTTTTATGTTCTGCTATTCGTTTATCAAAGTTTCTCCCAGTTTGACCGATATCAAAGTTTTTGGGCAGTCGCCACATTGAAGTTTGTATACACCACTATTTAAGTGTTTTTTATTTTGGCTCTTGTTATTTTTAATATATTTGCCTAGGTTGTTACTTGTTCGGAAAGCTGGTGTTATTCCTTTCTTTTTTATGTGTTTGGCAATTTTTGTTGTTATTTTGTCTGTATATGTAATCGAGCAGAAGGTACTGGGTTTTTTCTCTGGTGGTGGAAATACTAATTTCAGGGCTTTCTTGTGTAGTTTTTGATTTAACGTTTTATTAATTGTTTGTTCGTTGTGTCCGTTGTTTACTGCTAATTATATTTAATTCTGTCTCAAAGTTGTGTTTTCAGATCCGAATTTCTGTTAATCTATGTAACATACTATGATAAGCTGCCAGTTTATGTTGTGTTGGATGGGATGATGAATTGTGTATAGCCGTGTCAGTATGGGTAGGTTTATGAAATATGGAGAAGTCATGTTTGTTTTGAAGTCTACTAATTTTTAAATCTAAAAATTTATGCCTTGATTTGTTCTATTTCTATTGTAAATTCAATATGACTATGAACTATGGCAGTAAACAACGGATACAACGAACAAACAATTAATAAAATGTTAAATCAAAAACTACAAAAGAAAGCCCTGAAATTAGTATTTCCACCACCAGAGAAAAAACCCAGTACCTTTTGCTCGATTACATATACAGGCAAAATAACAACAAAAATTGCCAAACACATAAAAAAGAAAGGAATAACACCAGCTTTCCGAACAAATAACAACCTAGGCAAATATATTAAAAATAACAAGAGTCAAAATAAAAAACACTTAAATAGTGGTGTGTATAAACTTTAATGTGGCGACTGCCCAAAAACTTACATCGGTCAATCTGGTAGAAACTGTGATAAACGAATAGCAGAACATAAAAGGGCTTTCAAGAATAGAAAAACAGATTCGGCATACGCACTTCACCTTCTAGATCATGATCATTATTTTAATGACAAATTTAAATGTCCTTCACATTCAAAATAAAGGCCTTAAGCTATCTTTGTTAGAATCTATGGAAATCAACAAATTAAAAAACACAGATATAATTCTGAATGACCAACTTGAGACAAACAGTTCTCTCCTCCTCAACCTATTTCATTAGAGACTATAAATTTGTAAACCCAAGCCAAAAATAGATCACTTGAGAGAGGCTATCAGCCGAAACAGCAGTTGTGATAAGATTTAAAATAAATTTTGTGGAAGTTTGAAAACAAAGTTTTCAGTGTTTTATTGTTACATAAAACGAATTTCCATCAAGTAACGGTCGAATCCATCAATTATTATAAATACATCACTCTCACTGAGGTCACTGTCAGCGGCAGTTAGCTTCAGTGTTGGTCTAAATTTTTCGTGAAACTTCTAATATTTTCTCGTTTTTCAACCCTTTTCATTTAAAATATGTAGTGAGCAGTTAGTAGTTACAGTTAAGGTTTAAAAGATTGGTCATTAAGTTAAGATGCTAGGGGTTTCAGTGTTAAAAAACCGGCAAATTTGTTAGAAAAAAGTGATCTGTTATTCAAAAAAATGTATCAGTTCTGATAGGAGTAATCACTGTTTTGTTTCGTGTCATCTCTCATCTGAAATATTTGTAAAACGAAATTTACAACAACTTTTTAAAATACTCACAAGCCGAGTCTAAAATTTATGTCCAGTGCCAACTTTAACCTCAAATTTATGTGTCCCAAGAAGTCGTTTCAGAATATAATTCGCAGTGTGATATGCAGTTTTTTGTTCATGTGGCAAAGATTCAAAGTCCAGTTCCTACCCCCAAAAATTTTAGTAAGTCCAGTTTACAACCCCAGAAATTTTAGTGAAATACAGGTAACTTTATTTCATTTTTGTAGTTGCCCCAATCCAATCCCATTGTTTCATTCACTGATCCACAACCCAGTTCTCCAAATAAACCCTGAGATTCGTTCGCAACAGTTTCGTTTATTTTGTTTGCCCTATCTCTCTCTACCCCAATAATTTATGTCCCCAATTTTCAACCCCTTATAATAATACCCTATGTGGTAGGCAAAATATTCGTTAGACAAAATTAGAAACAATTCGGACTTATAATTACATTATAGTTATTTGACAATCATAAAAAGATGTCATAAATAGGTATGACTTTTATATTTAGGATGCTTTGGGTAAATTTGTGTTCTTATACACAATTCATCTACATAAATAATCATATTATGACATTAAAATTTCACTTTATGTAAATTAAACCACTATTCTAGTGTAATCCCGTCATAGAGTACCGTCAATTTCGTTTTTCATTTGGAAATTTTTTTCACGGCTGAGAACCCGGCCCCGAGTATCGCCAGCCGTATTTCATTTACTTAAATTGTCTTTATTAAAAGATGAGAGGTCAGTTATTAGACTAGTTATTATTTCACATATTACATCACTAAATTAGATCTCATTGAGGCAATAATGGTTGATTTTGTCAACTTTAAATATTAAAAAAAAATTACCTATATTTAAAACATTTATTGCATTTATGTGTCTAATAAGATTTATTGTATATACAAAATTTACATTCTTTAGCTAAGAGACTTTTGTGTACAAAATTATTTTATCGAAGCCTGGAGAATCGATTTTTAAGTGCTAGTATACAGTCCATCAATCTAAGGCAGTTTCTCAACCCTACTAATTCTCTTAGTGCAGTATGTTGTTAGTGCCCTAGACTATACGCATAAAGCCTAATATATAACTTAATGAGGGACCTTCAAAATCACCAAGAATAGGTAAATTTATTGAAACTTGACAATGCCCCTTCTTGACATCTTATATAGCGTCCCCCAGCCACCTAAAATACCAAATATTTCTTATCTGCTCTTTGTCATTTATGACAGATATCAAACATCTTCGGAGCTTACCATCCCTACGATTCGACTGTGGTTTGAATTTGTTTGGAATATTATAGAAGAAATGCTTGACTGCTCAGCAACCGTGTATATATGCTGCGGCTGTTAGAGGGTCCCATAGAGGGTTCTACTAGTTTTAGTAGAGTCGCAGTGCCAAATTTTGTGTAACTATGCCGGGCGGCAACTAAATTATGGTTTAAGACAGTACCGTTGCATTTCACAACACAGATGGTTTGTTTGGTACCAATCTTACTATTTTTTCTGGCAATTAGAATTATTTTAGTGATTCTATTATTTTGTTTCAATCTATTGTATCGTAGGTAGCTTTTAATCAATGAGTATGGATAGTACTGCAGAAGATGATACCGAACATTTCTTTAGCGACCTTAAGCAGGAAAACTAAAGTTCTTTGAATAAAGGACAAACCATTTTTCTAATAAAAACTTTTTATTTTTCTCTTTTTTTGCAGTTTTTGTTACTATATATAAATCTTTTGGTGTGTTAATATACCGATTTTAGAATTTTATATCTTAAAAATTATTTTATAAAGGTACAAGCCACTTTTTTTGGATATTTGTTGTTTTTTTTTTTGGGGGAAAAATTTTTTTTAAATAAAATTTTTTGTAATATTCTAAGAGAAGAAATATTTTTCTTATTGATATTATTTTTAATACATATTAGATATTTCAGTATTTGATTAAAATCTTTATAGCTCATTTTCTCAAAAACTTAGTTTTGTGGCATGTATCATTCTTGCTCTAAGGCCTTCAATCCGGTCTGCTCCAGAGATGACGAAAGATAGGAAAACGGGAAGAAAGAAATGTGAAATGATAGGAACTCATAATAATTACTTTAATATCTATAAGTGATGTTTAGAATACTTTGACTTTTTTAAAAATTATTAATTTTAATATGTTTATACTTACTTATTGATTTTAGATTTTAATTATTCATATAAGAAAAAATAGTACCAAAGAAAAAATCCTACCTTACATCCGGAACCTGGTCATAGACATATAGGACAAAGTCCACTAAACTATGCATCTTCAGGAAGGTACCCCAACTGTCGCCAAACAACCATACAGGTTTCGTCTGTTTTATTCCCCTTTCCTTCCAGTAACTCATGGGTTTGATAGCAAAATAATAGAATAATACAGCCAAAGCCGAGAGGACTAGCACTAATTGAAACATCGTAGGTTTCTTTAAATATAACTAAAAGAAATAAACAAAAAACAATATATTTGAAAATTGACATTTTCTCTTTAACATACTAATTTAATAATTGACAGAATCAGAAGTTGAGTACGCCTTTTAAAACTTTGAAATCAGAAAAGCACTAGAAGAAGATAATACCCCCCTCAATACTTAAACCCTTGTCAGGAAGTGGTGATACTCTAAATATCGTTAGCTTGCTACCTCCATTGGCGAGATCCTCTGCCAGATATACGGCTTCATGTAGGGATTTTTTCACAAGAGTCTTTATTTGGTCTATTCATCTTGTTGAAAATCTTTTTCTAGACCTTCGCCTCTCTACCTTTCATTCAGTAGTTCCATAATCCCCGTTCTTCTGATTATGTGACTGAAGTAATTTAGGTATGCTTATTTTACTTATTTAATATCTGTCTTTTTTATTAAGATGTTCCAGAATTGATAGGTTGGTTCTGTTATGTTATGGTAAGGATTTACTGTTGTATATCCTTCTAAAAAGAACTAACAATAAGTGCGATGACTTAATTTGTCAAGAGCAGTTTGAATTTAGAAGATTTTTTGGAAGTAGGGAGGCACTTTGTTTATGGGAAAACTTCAACGGTATTGAGAAGTACGAAAACTCGTAGCCATGTGCTTCATTTGTGTCAAAATGGCATGTATCAAATTAATAACGCCTTGCCTAGTATCCAGCTAGATTATAAAGACACAAACTTATTGCCAAACTTTACTGGAATGCAACAGCCATTATTAGTGTAAACAACAAAGAATCTAAGCCAATCAGTATTGAACGAGGAATAAGACGAAATATAGAGAGTTGTATACTCTCTCAGAGATCAAAAAAGAATTATCAGAAGAGGAGATATAATTAACAATATACGACACGCTGACGACACTTTGATACTAGCTGTAAATATCGACGACTGGCAGGAATTAATCAATCGAGTTGCTATATAAGGTCTTTATTTTTGTATAGACGTGAAACTTGGTATTTCTATATCGATAACATGAATAAAATCAAAACATTTAAAATATACTCAAAATACCATGGACCAGCAGAACCAGAAACGACGAATTACTGCGAAAAATAGGACATCAACTAACTCTTTTAAATAAGAAATGGATAGAATGGACAGCTTAATGTCACACTTATTAAAAACATTTTTAAAGATTATACATGCAAGAATATTCAGAAAGTGCGAAGCGGATATGAGTAATAGACTCATTAAAACTCAGTTAAAGCTATGTATAGTTTCAGAACTCTTGCCCAAAAATGTTGAGACCAATGATAATGTTGAGAAATGTTGAGAAATGATAAGTACGAGTTGTTGCAGCTGATTATGAAGGGTAAAATCAATGGAAAAAGGGGTTCTGGTAGATGACAAATATCCTGGCTGAAAAACATTCGCGACTGGATCGGGTTAAACACACAGATTCTCTTAAGAAAAGCAGAAGCTAGAGACGAATTTGCAATGGTGATAGTCAACCTTCATTAGTGAAAACGGCACTAGAAGAAGAAGATAGGATGGAGGAAACTCTAGAAGTTTAAGAGCAGACTAATTGTTACACGTAGCCCAATATTGAGATCAATATATGAATATTATTATGAACATGGCACCCTAAGAGGAAAAAGAAGTTTTGTGTCCAAAAAAGAATTACAAACAGTTTTTTTAAGAAAGTACTAACATAAAACAAAAAATTTGAATATAATAAATGATAATTAAAGAAAAAGCTTTAAAAAACATTTATAAAAAAACGAAAATTAAAAGAAAACTGGATACAACTAGAAGATGGGCACTGCTAGAATGTACTATAAAATGTTTTTATTAAGAAAAAACTATGAAAGTAATTCATTTTTAAAATTCCTTTGAAAATACTCTAATTGATAATAAGCCTGAAAGATCATTATTTTAAGCAATCAATCAATCAACTAATCCGCTATTTAATAATAAATAAAATTATACCTTGTTATTTAATATTCACACCACTATAACACTTGTTAACATAACAACAATGTAAATATATCTGGTTAACATAAAATCAATATAAACAATTTGATGCGACATTAATTTTTATTTTTGACGCTATGACCCATCACAGTCTGGACGTTCAAGGATTCACTAATGCTCGGAACCAAAATCTTCGCACAAACGCTGTGTGATGCTTTTACTATCATAATTGGATAAACAGCACATATTATTTCTATTAAAATACAAAGTTAGATAAAAAGAATGATTTTTTTTACTTGGATGAAAATATCACAATGTTTTAGATCTAAAAGAGATTGTTTCTCAATAAAGAGAAAGGTAACAAAGTTTATTAAATACCTCTTTTTTTCTTAGATTGTTAATACCCTGAAAAGATTACGGTTTATTAAACGCTATGTTTATAATTAAGCAAATGCAAGAGAAATCATTAGAATACAACAAACCGGCATAGATATAAATACGATGTAATTTGGAGCAAGGATTCATTAACACAGTAATAAGTTAGACAGTATGAGAGTAAATTAGAACAATTCCACAAGTTATTAATTAAGACAGTTGGTATTAGACAATTCAAGACAGTATGGAGTTAGTTAATTAAGAAGATAAACAGTGAAACAATTAAACAGTTTTTCATTAAGACAGTTACAGTTGGACACTTAATAGTTACAGTAAGACAGTCCATTCAATAATCAGTCAATCATTCAGTCAGTTGATCAGTAAATAGTACAAGCAGATAGTATACAGTGGTCAGTAGACTTCGGCCAATATGCATATTGCATATTTTGCATATTGTGCATATTTTATGCAAATATTTCATATTTTGGCATATTTGTATAAAAGTTTGCATAAAGTGCATAAAAGTTCAGATTTTTATACTGTATTTGAAAATTTTTAAACATACCAATTTATTTCAATTCTTATATAAAATTTTGTAGTCATTTTAATCAAGAAATGATCTAAGTACGTAATCTCTACAGGTACAAAACATTTACAATTTCAAAGAAGATCAATTTAAGTAGCCCTCAACATTTTTAGAAAGTCTCGGTCACTGAGACATTCAGTTATTGGATAATCGCTAAGGGTTCGCTCATTTGCATTTTATGATCTAATCCCCAAATCTATCTACAATTTATTGTATCTTAACAGCAGGTAAACGGCTAATAGTTTTGTTCCTAATTTAGGGATTTTCCAAAATCTCCCAGTTTACTGAATTAGGTACCTAAACATTTCTAATTTGATGGTCAGATTTGTAAATCATTTTTGTTTTGATATTCAAAGCGTAAACACTCGTTGTGCGTAACAAAAAGGAAGATTGTGATTTTATAATGCCTAAAACAACCAGTGCTTCAACTTGGATTAAACCTTATAAAGAGCTGTCTATGGATATGGGAAAAATCTACTGTTCAGTCTGTGGCAAAATTGTAAGTATCTAATATTTTTTATTAAATATCTTATATTTCATACATACAGGGTGTTTCCAAATGACACTTACAACGTTTGACCGTAGATACTTCTCGAAAAATTGAACAAAACGATATAGTTAATGAGGGGTCAAACTTATTTACTTTTCGATATACAGGGTGTTAAAATTAAAAAAAAAATTAAATTCTTTTAGTTAATAACAACAATAACTTTAAAACCAATAAACGTATTTACTTGAAATTTAGTACTCGTAGGTTGTTTTTAAATGAAAAATAGCTTCCTTTAGTGAGAAAAAATTGTCCATGGTACAATACAATGGTGTGTATTTAGAAAAATTTTTCACCTTTACTTTTTTTTATGAAGTCAGCTATTCTAAAACACAATTATTTTTATTGTAATTGAATTAACAAAAAAAAAAACTTTTGTTGAATTTTAAAATAAGTTATATGATGTACTAATGGTTACTAACAAAAACTAATTTGTGGATTAATACTGCATTTAAAACACTTAGCGAGTGTTTTTTTTTCCAAACCAGTTATTTGATTAACCAAAAACACCTTGTATATTTTTATATTTTATAGGTTGGGTTAAAATAAAGGTTTTTATTTTTATTTATAGATAGCATGTGAGAAGAAATTTCAGATAGACCAACATGTGAGAACTGCTTCACACATTGCAAAAAAAAGGAAAAATAGGAGGAAAACATCAAACTTCAATGGCCAAATGTTTCCAATCTACTTCAAAAAAATTAGATGAACAAGAAACTTTTAATGAAGACTTGTGTCGCGCATTAGTGTCTGCAAACATACCTCTTTCAAAATTAGCAAATGTAAATTTTAGTTCGTTTCTAAAAAAATATTGCAAACTTAATGTTCCAAGTGATCGGTCTCTAAGAAGAAATAATGTGAACGGGCTATACTCGTCGGTGTAAATAATATTAAGGAAGAAATTGCAGATAATTATTTTTACATATCTGTAGACGAAACCACTGATTCCTCAGGAAAGTATATTGCTCATTTATTGATTGGTGTTCTTAAAGAAGATACCTTACCAAAATCTCATCTTATTTCATGCCAGCAACTTGAGAAAATAAATGCTTTAACAATTTCGCGTTTTATACAAGAAACATTAGCAACTTTTTTTCTTCCGACAACTATTCCTTCTAATAAATTACTGCTTATTTTATCGAATGCTGCTCCTTATATGGTGAAAGCAGGGCAAAATTTAAAAATATTTTTCCCAGATTTAATACATGTTACTTGTGTAGCGCATGGATTAAACAGAGTTGCAGAGGAAATACGAAAAAAGTTTCCTCTTGTAAACACCATGATATCCAGTGTCAAAAAAGTATTTCTTAAATCTCCTATAACAATTCAAATTTATAAAGAAATGCTAAATAACATTCCTCTTCCACCACAACCTATTTTAACGCGATGGGGAACATGGTTAGAAGCAGCTAATTTTTATGCAGATCATTTTGTTAAAATAAAGAACATAATTGATACGTTAACAGATGAAAGTTCCCAATCTCTTTTTGATTCTAAACAAACTTTTCAGAGTAACTTGCTTCAACAAGAACTTTCATTTATAAAATCAAATTTTAGTTTTGTTCAAAAAACAATTACTCAGTTAGAATCACCAAAACTGTCATTGTTCGAAAGTTCAGCATTAATAAAAGAATTTGCGTCATGTTGTCGGAACGTTAGAGGTAATATTGGAAAAGATATTTTAAAAAAATTTGAAGCTACTATGGAAAAAAATAAAGGTTACCATATTCTTTCTGAAGTAGTCAGTGTTCTAGCTGAAAATATTTCGGAAACAATTAATTTAGAACCAAATGTTTTGGTTAGTTTGAAAAATGCTCCCGTTACATCAGTTGATGTTGAACAAAGTTTTTCCATATATAAATATATGTACTCATAGAAGCCACAGACAGAAGCCACAAGTTTTTGTTAGAAAGTTTTGAACACCACTTGGTCATTTATTGTTACCATAATTCTAAATAAGTTTATTCATACTTAAAAATGATGTAGTTACTTAAAATAAATGTAAATCTTAATGAATAGTAGGAAATATTTAGTTATGTACACTTTTTTTTTAATAAAATTGTTACTGTTTTACGATTTTTTTATTTATTTGTATGCATATTTTGTAAAATATTTGCATATTTTCGGGTAAACACGTGCATATTTATGCGCATATTTTCTACATTTTTATTTGCATATTTGCCAAAGTCTAGTGGTCAGTATTAAAGTATTAATTATACAGTACAGTATGCAGTAATCAGTGATTCAAAGTTTTATAATATTTGAAAGTATATTTGAAATATATTAAAATTATAATATCTATATGGTGATTGGATATTCTACGATTGGTTTCTACAACTCATTCGTCGTAGAAACTCGCACTTATAGAACATAATTGAAAATGATTTCTAAGGCCACAGTATGATTTGGTTCGCCAAGAATTCTGACCAGAATTTACGAAACGAAGAACCAATTCAACCCCTATCAGTATGTCTATAAGATCTGATTACAAAACTGCGTGATTTGGTAGATCACTGAACTAAAATTGGCCGTGGAGCCTGTACCTTGCAGGATACGAATTATAAGAAAGATGCGAAAACATATTTGATCTGTATAAACTATGTGGAAAAAAATAGACGAGAATAGTAAGTGTGGTTGTGTAGCAAAATAGAAATGTTGGTATTTGAAGAAGTGGTTGTCGAAAGGAACAAGAGAAATTTGACGGTTGGTTAACAAACGAAGCAAAACGCGAGGCCGTGATTCGCAAACCGTGTCCGTCGTTCCGAATGAGGTGGGAATCAGGCTACGTACACAATAATTATGGGGATTAACCAACGAACAAAGTTCTTGAATCCATTTAGTCACGAAATACAAACATTTATATGACTGATAAGAACCGCAACACAAGACACATTTAACACCTTAATTAGTTACCTTAGTGTGTTTTGTGGCACTAACGAAACCATAGGTAACGGAGATTGTATCAAAATATTGAAATAAGACAGCGACAATCGAAAGAGAGCAGGAGAAGGCAATAAATTAAATCGAAACAAAGTTATAAGATTTATGAAAATCTACACTGGCTACGAATAATAATGAAGGAGTGTGGTTTAGATACTTGAATGCGTTTTATAGGCCTCCTTGAATCTAGAGAATGCCGAGTAGGGCGCGAAAAGTTGGATTTGTTAATTTTGTTAAGCATTGTATGATAAGAGTACAAAAGAGAAGACAATGCAGTAATAAATTAACAAATCAACACGAAGAAAATATCTATAAACAAAGAAGCGAACGGTTTTAAACAAAATCAATTGCAAACAAGTGAGCATATCGATAGAAAGGTAAGTAACAAAGGAAAATCGAAAGAAATGTGTTTAAGTTAACACGCAAAACGTCCGAGTTGGAAAGTACGACACAAGTAGAACAAAAATAATTCACAAAAATCAGCACAAAAACAATGTAAAAATGTAAAACAATAAATCATAAATGTAATATATATATATATATATATATATATATATATATATATATATATATATATATATATATATATATATATATATATATATATAATATATATATATATATATATATATATATATATATATATATATATATAAAACTTAGAGCTAAGATTAGGATTATTACTAAAATTAATATCAAACTCACCAGTCTTCCGGGT